TCGAATGTCCATACATACTCTTCCTATTCATAGTTCAATTTGAATCAAAGCATGGTGTCTACTCTTGATTCAAACCAAGATCGCACATACAAGTTCTAATGGTGATCAATCATTCAAACAAGCATATTAACTGATAAGCATAATGAATAAGAACATGAATCATGAATCAAACTTGAAACTCCAAACTTCAAACTTATAAACCCAGAATATTCATGTTAGGTTACATCGAAGCCCTAGTTTTGAAATTAGCTGCTCATAATGAAAAAGAAACTAAAACAGAAATGGGAAAACATAATGAATGCCATAAGAATAGAAAAACCCTTTTATGAAGTTCTTGTGGTGTCCAATGCTTCTCCAAGAGCTTCTCCACGTCTAGAAGGATGTATGAAGGATATGGAGGTGATTTGAGGATGTATGACAGCTAGTAGGTGATTTGGGATGAGTTTGGGTGAGTGGTGATGGCTGAGAAAGAGGAAATTCGTAGGGAAATGGAAGGGAGGTTTTCTGGAGCTATTTTGGTGATTTTGGGGCAGTTTAGAGTATTGGGTTGATTGCTGGAGTGTTTGGGGTTATGGGAATGTATGAGGATGATTTCTGGATGTGTTGATGGAATGATGGAAGTGTGGAGGATGGCTGGAGTGAATTTTGTAGCTTGAAGACTTCTCTATTTATAAGGCTAAGTGGGAGGAACATCATGATGAAATCCAACACCACCATTCCTCATTTTCCAACACCACCATTCCTCTTTTAATACAATCCATAACTCCCACTTTATCTTGTCTATGTTAGTGTGGTTGGAATCAATTCCATCCCATACTTCTTTTGCTGCACCTCAAGCTTTCTTCACATGGGTTTTCAAAGGTGTTCAATTGTGGCTGCCTTTTGCTGCCAACCCATGTGGGTTTTTTTTTTGTTACTGGAAAAAACGATTCTTCTGAACCAGGCTTGGTGTAGGAAGGCTTGAGGTTGCAATATGTATCCAATGGGGCTCAAATTTGGATATGTCATAATAGATACCCATTGGAACAACTTTTATGAAGAATGTATTCCCATCTGAGTAGTACAAGTATACGTTTTGGGCCTTGCAAGTTGACTGCCGAAAATAGACTGGAATTGACTCATGGTGTGCATTTTGATGAGCCCACGGATTGGGCTTGGCTTCATCAATTGATACGTTTGAGCAGTCCATCTTGCAGTTTAGAATCTCTTCTTTCCAACCACATATTAATTGGGCCAATACAAGTTGGGAGGAGGAAGTTAAGGACGAAACAAATTGCTAACTCAGTCTGCTCGTTTTAGCATCATTTTGCATCTTTTCCTATCCAAAGCCATCATTGCTACCTAAGGCCCAATGAACTGAATGATAAATAGAAAAGGGATAAAAGCACAAATTTAACTCAATAACATAACCAAATCATAAGCTAGAGGGGTACAAAATGATATACAATTATGAACTGATCAACTATGGGCCTAGCCTCTCGTGCACATTGGTCCTTAGACCTAACCTCGAATGGATCGTCAACTGTCTTAGAATACAGGTTGCAAATGTCTACGTCTCATCAACACAATCTCGTTCTCTTCCCTATCCGTTTGTTTCTGTTCGACTAGCCTGGGACCTCTCTAATCGCGTGCTGGCATGCTCGAGGGTCCTCCTCACCCCGTCATGGGATCCAAGGTCAAGGCCTTGATTCAAGTTGATCTGCTGGAACTCGCTGGGGAGCTGCTTGAATGTTCGTAAAAAATAAAGACAATTGCTACATTTACAGAATTTTGAAAATAAAACTTCACTATAAATTTGAAATAAATACAATAAAATAACGACAAGGTATATGTTAAGAATACTTTACAGATGATCGAGTTTAGAACTTGGTTCTATCTCCTTAAGACGAAATTACCTCCTCACAGGTGCTTTTAGGATTTGCTTGGCAAAAATCTCCCAGGATACAACGATCGACTTCTTGTTGAAGTAGCACTACAATCCCCAAGAAAAGCGAACTCAAACTTGTGTATGAATTCTCTCTTACTAACTCACTATATTTCTAAAGTTAGGGACCAAAATGCAAATCGGGTTAAAGTTCAGGAACCATTAGACCTAAAAACCCTTAAAAAAATATAGCACTCCAACTTTAAAATACCCTAGTGTAGATCCACTGAAGCAAGGACACTTTTAGAACTTAATCCAGAAAACGATACTTTTAGAACTTAGTCCCAAAAAAAAAAAAAGATTCTTCTTGGTCTTTAAATGTGTGAAATGTGGTGTACAAAAGACACTTTTAGAACTTAATCCAGAAAGAGACACTTTTAGAACTTAGTCCCAAAAAAAAAAATCACATTCTTCTTGGTGTTTAAATGTGTGAAATGTGGTATGCAAAACCCTAATTTAAGGGCCTCCATTATGGGTGCTCTAAGAAAAGCTAACTTGCTCTAAGGAACTCTCCATTCCCAAGTACTTTCTCCAAGGGCTGTACAATTACTCTTAATATTCCATTTAGGAAACTGCCCAGTTGTGAACTGACTTCTCATTCGCCCAACGTTTCATACAATTTGTGTGAAACTGAAACACAGTTTCATATAAAACTCGAAGTGTGGGTAAGTGGTGCTCAAAAAGACTTGTGGAGGCCATGGATGCTTCGGATGTATGTCCAACTGAGGAGGCCATTAAGGCTTTTCTGGAATACTTGGTCGACCCAATACTTTCACCTAGATCTTCTCTGCGTGATACCCCATCGCTATCTCAACAAGAATCAGTTGCCAAACAGGTGTTGTTCTTTCTTCATTTCATGATGCATTTTGTGCTTTGTGTTAAAATTTGCATGGAGTATAAAATTCTCATATTTATTTAGTTTTGGACTAGGCCTAGTTTCTTGCCAACCTTGCAAAAGTTTTCATCTTTGTGTTCTTTTAATGAATTATTTTTGCATATGTGTTAAAAAGTGATTTGCAAGAATGTCTTCTTGGGTAGGAGGAAAACATTGTCCTTCACTGTTTTTTAAAAAACTCAATTTTCCTTAATTAAGTCTTCATTTCTCTAAATTTCTTTTAACTATTTGCTTTGCTTGTGAAATTGGTTTCTCTTACCCTTAGGTTCATGCTGTTGTGTTACTATACAACTACTATCACCGAAAGCAATGCCCGGATCTAGAAGTTTTGAACTTTGATTCGTTTTGCAAGTTGGTTTTGGTTCTGAAACCAGCCCTGCTGCCTCATATGAAATTCATGCAAAAGCCCAGTGATACTGAGTTGGATGACCTGGAGAAACAACTCTCAGTGACAGAACAAACAATCATGGATGCATGCAACATGTCTTTAAGGTTGGATGCATCAAAGGATGTTCCAAATACAGAGGGATGGCCAATTTCTAAAGTTACCGTCTTTTTGGTTGACCCCAAGAAGGAGAACTGCTTATTGCTATTCAGTCCCATTACCCAGGGGGTTTGGTCGGTGATTGAAAAAGATTTAGATGTCGCAGTGCACAGTTCAGAAGATCAAACGGAGGCAAAACATGTAAACAGAAACAAAAGAGTCACTGGAAAACCTTCAAGAGTTGAATCAAGGACTGATGGAGCTAGCTTCCGGAAACTTGCATATTCAGCAGTTAGTGAAGCTGCAGGTATGCAAATTTCCTTATATACTACTTTTCGAGATGTATTGAGTCCAACAGTTCCTGATCTCTTCTGCCTTTTGTTTTGCTGATCCTGACACAGAGAATCAAGCAAATTATTCTTGAACTTGAAAATCTTTTTCAAGGTTCTTTTTTCTTTTCTTTTTTTTGGTCGAACTTTTTCAAGGTTCATGCATTACAAATTTAATTACTGTAATTTGCTGTGTCTAAGTATCCAAATCCTTGTGTTCTAGGACCTTTTTCTGCTACCAATTGTCTAACAGACCAGCTGACACATAAATATGATTCTTGTGAACGGAATAGGTATTAATCAAACAGATCTTCTGGTTTTGGAAAGCCATGTTGTATTTTCTGTGAGTAAAGAAAAGGCGGCTGCTTGCTTCTTTATAATTCAGTGCACCAAAACAGTCAGTGAGGAGATTTTTCAAATTCCTATTCAAGATGTTATTGACAGGTATGGTTGTAGAAACAGACTTCTTTTTTTGGTTGAGTTTTATTATGATTTATTGGTTTTTTTTGGGTGCCTTGAGGGGTTAAGGTGGAAAGCTTGGTCGGATTAAGGGTGGATTATACTTTGTGTCGATCATTAGATCGTTTTAATGTTATGCTCTATTGGATTTTATATTACATGTTTTAAACATATTTCTTAATGTAAACTCGAAGGTGTCAGGAAATGGGTTGGGTTTGAAAATAATAGGGTTTGTGTTTTGAGTGGTGAACTGTAATTATTTATCATATTACTGCTATCCACTGTGTTCTTTTTTATGCTAACATCATGTCCTTGCTTTTCGAGTAGTCTGCAGGGTCCTCTGGTCGGAAAGAGTTCCAGCAGTTGGACAGTTACACCAGTCGTCGAGTACTTCCATGTGCTTCCTTATGCTGGGATTTTGTTAGACTGGTTTTCTAGGTGTGCTATTTTCTTGATATTTTGTAGTTCTTTTCTTTTTGTCTAATTAGAAACACATTAATTGTGCATAGTAATTTTTGTGTCTTCAATGCAGATTTCTAGCTGTAGTACTAGTAATTATAATCCTTGGACATCCCCTTTATTACATGATTCTATTATTGCCTCTTATGCTTGATTGAAACATTCTTCAGGATAAAGAGTATTTGACTGAGGTTTATTTTTTCCGAAACGGTATTACTTCTGATTTCAGTACTGTAAGATGCATAGAATCATACTAATCTTAATCCTTGTAATTTATTATTATTATATATTTACTCTTTTAAGATTAACGCTTGACCTACCCCATTTGCAAGGCTCATTTTTATGAATGTGGGTTTTGAACCCATTTGTCAGGTCTTAGCTAATAGCTACCATGCCATGACATGGTACCACATAACTTCGGTAGCACCTTTGTCGACATGCTGGAATATGGGATTCGTTAGCTCATCATGTCCTTATTTTGTAATGTGTGTTTAGCGTAGGCCGTAGAAACAAACAAACCTCAGTGTTTTCTATCTTTGGTAACATTGCCAAAACACTTGAGGCCAGTGTTGAAACTCATTGTTTTATGAACTTTTATAGAAACATTGAACGAATAAATGGGGAAGTTAGCCATAGGAACTTTTTTGTTCCTCTATTCATTATTGGGATTATAGGAATGTGGAAAGTTTTTCCCTGTGCTTTCTATTTGATTTAGTTTAGCAGCACTGCTTGAATACTGATTTAATGTCTCCAAATTGTCTTTTATTTACCTAACATGTGTTTTTCTCGCTAGCAGGAGAGAATCCTCAAATGGTTTGCAAGATTCAAGGCTAGAGGAAAATATAACTGTAAACAGCTCCGATAGGGTTCAAACACCTTGCAAGCTAGAACTTGATAAAAGCCGAGACAAGTCTCATGAAAAAGGTATCATGATTGAGAATGTTGAAAACACAAGTGGTTCCCAGAAAATGGAGGTGGATGACTCTTCCATGGTCCCCTTGCAGAATGAACAGAGTTGTAAGTATATTTCAAGCACAATTCAAGTTGTCAAACACCATGTAGAGAATCTTGAAAAAGATACACCCAGATCTAAACCTCAATCAAGGGAGCAGAAAGATACCACTGGATGTTGCAAGACAAGTTTGGCTGATGCTTTCAATGGGCCTCAGAAAATTGAGGTAGATGACTCTCCCATGGTTGCCTCACAAAGTAGAGAACCCTGCAAGAATATATTAAGCACCATTCAAGTTTCCAACATGACATCCTGTAATGAAAATGGATTAAATGGCTCAGCAAGTAATGTTAATGTAAAAGTTTAGACTTCTTTACCCACTTCAACATTTTTCCTTCTCTACATCTCATATGTGAGTCTATAGCTCCTTGTGATTTCTAGGTACATAGTCTATAGCTCCTTGTGATTTCTAGGTACATACTCGTGCTTGGAAAAAAATAAATGGGGCTTACCAAATGTAGGTTGAGGTTCACATTTCTGTGGTTGTTGGTTTTTTTCACTTATTACATCTCAAGTACTTCACTTATTACATGTCAGATTAAGAGATTAAAAAAAAAAGTGTTATATGTTAAGGTGCTCGAACACGCTTTTATGCTTAAATTTCAAGTGCAGATCAGTTCTTTTGTTTCATTAGGCCTAGAATCTTTAGAGTTTGTACTTAACATAATTAGATCCTTTAAAAAAAAATTTATATCATCTGACAGCCTGTTGCCTGGTGGGCAGGTCAAGGTGGTGAACTCAAAAACAAGGCCATTCATTACTGACTGCGGCGCTAAAAAAATTGTTGCTGGAAAGAAGATCTGTTCCATGGACTCGTCAGATCAAGATGGTATAGATGGTCGTGCCATTGTCACCTATCAATCAAGTTCCAAAGATCTTTACAAGCTTCAGATTGCTATAGCTTCTAAAGAAAACATCTTGTCACAAACTGCTTTGAAAGTTCTGATGAAAAGAAGGGATGACCTGGTAATACTTTCTTTTTGTCTTTCCATAATTACCTTGGTGTCCTGATCTAATTACTATTAGGATGAGTTCCTTCTAGATAATCAAACGCATAAGTATCCTAGAGATTGTTGGATGGAATTAATCTAATGTACAGTTGACTCGTGTCTTCTATAGATAAGGTAACTGGGAGTGGCCCGAGCACATGTGCATTAGTGGTTTGGCACCAGTAAAGTTGCTATAGCCCAGTCAGATTTCCCAAATTGAGATGGTGCAATTTTGTTTGCAATTTTACCTCCTTCAAAGTTCAAATTGTTGTATGCCAGTCAGTCCCTCAACAATTAGAATGGTTAAATACACGAGACTCTGTTCATGGACCTATCAAAAAGTATCTTGCCATCTTTTGGTTTAGCCTTCTGCTGTAACATATTTGCTTTACTAGTTTTTATATTTTTTATATTTAAAATGAACTTGTTCTTTTTAGAATCATTTGCTCATCCATGCAGTCTCTTCAGCAGCGGAATATTGAGGATGAGATTGCTCAGTGTGATAAAAAAATCCAGACAATTTTAAATGGTATTATTTTCTTTCAAGTTATTCTATTTTGGTTATTTATTTATCCTCCCTCCCCCCTTTCTGCCTGATTTTGTTTCCTTAAACTTTTCTATTTTACATGTTTACACTCAAATGTACAAAGTATACGAGAAAGTCCAATCACAACTAGATCTTAAACTGGATAAGCCTCTTGTCTGGTAATCCCACCAAGTTAAGTGCATTCATAATGGTGGCAGGTGGGAGAGTAAAAACTGATGCCATAAACTGATTTTTGAGTTTTTGAGTTGTAGTGTTTTTAATTGTTAGTTCTTCCATTATAAGACTACTATTCCTATATGCTGGAATTGCGGTGTGCCAAGTATGTTGAAATGACCATAATTTAGAAGTCTTGAATACTGCCTTAAGTAGCGAGTTAGATTCTAAATGTAAGTGCCTTGCATCTGCAGAGTACCAACAGACGATCAGTGACTCAATGCTGACCTTGTGGTCGTACCTTTTTCTTCTTCTTATGAACTAGTTTGAAACCTATTTGATGATGCATGGAACCTTTTTTTTCTTGTTTCTGTATTTTTTTGTTTAAGTTATGTTTGACATATCAAATTAAGAAACTAATTTGTGGTATTGTATCTATTTAAGCAAAGAAAACAACTAACTCAATCAAATTCATCTGTTTATAACTTTCATTTTAAGAAAATATTATTAAAACATGGCAGCTCACGGCGCCACTGCATAAACTCAATATGTAAAATAGTTGTACCTCCTAGTTATTAGACAAAATAATCAAAGCCAATGCCAAAAAAGAGTGTGGTAAAACTGTTAGTGGCCTCACTTTGGATTATGTTAGACTATATAGTTCATGGACTCCTAAAAAAAGATATTGTGAAATTTAAAGACTCTCCACTTAGTCTTGGCCATTTATGGTACACAGGTTACCAAAGTTTGGAAAATAATCTCAAGTATTAGAATCCAACCTTTGATTTAAAAATCAAACTATAATAGGCTAATTGAAAAATGAAGCATAAGTGGTGGTAAATCAAGCCTAACAAACTTCTAACGCTTCTTGTGATCAGAAGTAAAAAAGCTAGGTAAAAGCACTTTATAGTTGAGGAGATTACCAAAACTGAAAAGTGTAGAAGTTTGAAATTATGTGTCCTTTGTTTGAACTTAATACTTAGCACACGTTGTGCACATGGTGAAACACTATTGTCTTGAACAGTGTTTTTTCATATGTATACATTTATTGGTAAAGACTTGGAATCGCAAGTGCTGGAGTCTATCCCTACATATTTAGAGGTAAGGGCTCCTGTGCAATGGTTGTACGGTACTTGATGTATACTTCCATATCAATTTTTTTACTACAATAGGTGGTGAAGATGACTTGGCACTAAAGGTAGAGTCCATTATAGAAGGTTGTAATGATGTCTGTGTAAGAAGTGGAAGGACTCATCGACTGCTTGAAGACCAACTCCCCCAAAGTAGCAAGAGGAAGAAGTTGTCAGAGGCCATTCTCAAAGAGCAAAATCCATGCCAGGCAAGTTCCCCTATTGGATTGTATTTTCTTCTCATTGCTTATGCCAATTGAGAATTGAAGGTTTATCAGAATAGGCATTCCATTAAAATCCCATTTGAGACATCTTCAAGGTTCTATTCTTTTGCATCCTACAAAACAAATTTTAAGAGTTGGCTTCAATAGAAGTATAAGAAGTTTCTTGGGTTATTCATTGGGTGTTTTCCCATTCATTCAGAGCTTTTGTTGCTTTTGGTAGAGGGAAAAGGAAAAAGTTTTGCAGGATTATGGAGCTTTGGCAATTTTCGGTGGCCTGGTTAGAGAGAAATAGCAGAATCTTTCAGGGTAAAAGTGAGGAGGTAGTTGACTTCTTATGGGATATACTTATATTTCAGGGCATCATTTGCTAACGGTTTTTAAGACTTTACTTTTTTCTTGCTGAATGTGGACTAGGATGCAGAAATTTCTAGGTTTTTTGCTGTTTCTGTTCGGTCTTGGTGTGCCTCTAGAGATAAAAGCATGTTGGGCATCTCTTATTTTGTTTCCTTTGTTGATGATTGTTCCAGAATATCTGAGCATTGGAACTGCTGTGCGAAATATCTTACAATTTACCAATGACCTCCATCTGCGTTAACAAGCCACTGATCTATCGTATTTGGCTAAAGACATCGTCGGTTCGAATTATTATTGAACTATATGCTTTGGAACCTTGTGCAAGTTGGTTTTTATTATAGGGGTCCATAGCTCTTCTATGAAATCCCCACTCATTTTTATTCAGATTTAGATATAGAAGTTACAAATTAGGAGCTTACAGATTTGATTTCTTATACATTCTTATAACACTGTCAACTTGCCAGGATCTGGATGATGTATGCTATGAAAACAATTGGGTATTACCAACTTATCGTGTATCCCCATCAGATGGTGAGATCATTTAGATTTGAACTGTTTTTATTTTCACATGCAATTTAAACTGTGCTTTTAAATAGAATTGATTTTCCTATGGGGAAAAAAGGATGTTATATCATTGCTTAATGTTCCTCTGATCTTGTTGCTGTTCCTGCAATTTATATGGAAAAAAGATCTTTGCTACGACCTTTCAATATTTAGTTAATCGGGTAGAATTTTCTTTTTGTCTTTTTTAATAATGCTGGACTGCTTCGGGAATTTTTTTTGGGCAATAATGTGGCCGAGCCACGCCAATTTAATCTTCCAAAGGTTTAGAATGTGCTGGGATTGTCATCTTTGACTTTCATGATCCATCAAATCTTTTACAAAATAATCCTTACTAGCTTCTGAACTCTTTCAGCATTTTACTGAAATTCATAAACCTAAGGATTGAGACATCATTAATTGTTGGTGGGTCTTCCTTCCTGTCTCACAGCTGTGTTTTTGGGGTAAAGCTGTTGATTTGATTAGAACTTGCATAAAAATTCTGGAAACTGGTTATTCTGCAGTAGGGTTTTAGTTCTGCCTTTTGGAGAACTTGCCAGGTAATGTAACCTCTAGAAGATCATCATTGAAATCAACAATGTATCCTGCAATAGTAGATTAATCGACTGCAATGCAGAGTTAGAACTAATGGTAATTTATTTGTGTTTGAAAGGTGGATTCCAAGCTGAGGTGACAGTAAAAGGGATGGATTTTGATTGTTCAAGTAGGGGTGACCTGTGTTCCAATCCTCGTGAGGCAAGAGAATCGGCTGCAGCTCAAATACTGGTAAAATTGCGAAGTATGGCAGGCCAGGCCCAGCAGTTCTAGGTTCTTTGTTGGAAAGTTAGAAACTGCATTTTGCTGTAGATTGTTACTTCAGGTACTGCATTTTGCTGTTACTTCAGGTTTTTGTTTGGCTTCAGTAAAGTCAAAAGGAAATAGAGGGAAAAATATCAATGCATTATCAAATATGTACAAAAAAGTGTTAACGCATCCTCAAGTATCCTAACAAATATATACCAAAAAATGCTAATGCATCATGTATTAAGACATATATATATAAAATATATATTTTCTTTTGAGCTATTTTGTAAACGTATGTATTAAACTGATGCTAACTTTTATAACAAGTCCTTTGCCTCCTGGCTGTGGCGTGTGGATTGTTAACTTTGGTGTATGAATCAGAGAGCTATGGATTAATTTGCCCCTCTCAAATAGGTTTTCGATTAGCTCATCTCTTTATATGTGGGTGCCCTACCTTTCTATATATTATTACTTGTGAGTTACCATGTGAGTTTATATCACACAGGTCTCAAGTTTGATAGGTTTCAAGTATTTGATATAAAATTTCAGATTTAAAATCAAGGTCTAGAAATGCAGGTCTCAAGTTCAAATCCCTCTTCTAAGCCAAAAAAAAATATTTAAAAAAACATTTAATTCACGGGATTTTGGACATGCAACATCACTTAGTTTCATTTTAAGTTTCTTATTCTTTATTTAAAATCTTTCGAAAAAAGTTGATTAGATCTTTCGCATTTCCTTTTCCACTACATCTCTTTCTTCTCCCACCTCACAGCAGCCCTGGCTCCTCCCTTCTTCCCCTTTCACATCCTCTCCTTTTTTCATCGTTTAGTCCAAATTTATGTGATTCATTCCGTAATGGAACTAATGGGTTCATCTAATCACAATAACTAATCTTGTTCTTGAGAAGGACAGAAGGCTTGAAAAGTAGGCAATTGAAGAGACTAGTGTGCATGGAATTGGGAACGAAGGTGGAATTATTGATCAGAGTATACCATGATATATAGGATTTGCACCACAATCTCTTCAGGCCTTTAGCAAAAGTAGCCTGTCATTATGTTCTTTGATATTTATCTTCAATTAGCGTTGGTTATGATAGAAACTACACTAACAACAACAACAAAAAACCTTTATATCAACGGTTCTTTTATGCATTTTCAACGTTTGAATTCTGAATATATTCGAGACTTGCGTCATGGAAATGGAAATATCTTTTATGTGGTTGAGTTTAATTTTGTGTGATCAAGGAAATCATATAGAGATTCGAGGTTCTCCTTCCTCGAGAGGTTTGTTTGCGCCTTGAAATTCCTCACAGGGAAACCGATGGATGGATCTGGTGAAGGAGAAAGTAAAAATGTTTAAACCAAAGCCCCCAAGACATGTTCTTGCATGTCTCACGCCAAACAAATGTCAAAGTTTACCAAGCATTTAAAAAAAATTTGATTTCCAATTTTACCTCCATATGAAATGGCAAAGGGACAAGTAAACTAAAATAAACAATTCTCAATTAATCTAATTTTAATCTAAAGTAAACTACCCTAAATTTTAATCTAATTTATGGGAAGGGGGACTTAAACTTGAGTGCAAAGGGACATGCTAACTACGCTGACCACGATTATGAAAGCTTAAGTTTTCCGTTAAAGAAGAATTGACAGATTCGACAAAATGAGACTTCATAAAATAGAAAATGACGTTTATGAGAGTGAGATAAGTACGGTTTTCACCCAAAAAAATATATATAAGTACGGGAAGACAAAAAGAGAGATATACTTCAAGGAAAGAGAAGTAACCGAATATTTGTCTTACCTTTTGGCAAGAAACTGTTCTTGACATTCTTTGGTTTTAAACCCGGTTTTTTGGTCGAAAGGTTTTAAACCTGGTTGATTAGGCACAATCCCAACCAATTTGATTTTCTTGAACGGCATTGATAACCTAGTACAAGTAGGATCCTCATATGGATACTATACCCTCAATTACGATGTCGTCTACGAGAGTGACTTTACCTCGTATTTGGCAAAAAAAATTGTGTATATAATACATTATGCGGGCTTGCTTAAGTCATATTATGAATATTTTCATGTTATAACATAAGGAAATTAATAATTAAAACATAACGGATAGATTCATCACAACACGTCAGTATGCCATGTGGAGAACAGATGTATACACAAAAAGTACGAGAGAGAGAGAGAGAGAGAGAGAGAGAGGGAGAGAGATTCATATAACTCAACAAATCTGCAATAAAAAGAAGATCCCGACTTTACATCTAACTAAAGGATTTATACTTTAATTTTAAGAAATCATAAATTTGCTTCATCCTCCGCAAATTTCAATAAATACCTCAAAATTGAAGGCTTGGTGCCATCTATATCACCTTTGTGCTTGATGTCAAAAATGCCCTTCATAATTCTAGTATAAAGCCTCTCTAGCTGTGGAATGTCATAGTTTTCAGTCCTTTCCACAAAAAGTCGCCTCACTGACTCTATTTGGTTTGTCATCTCACCATCTGACATGGTGATGTCTTGGGATCCAATCACTTGAGAATTATGGCCAGAAATTTCATGCTGATGGGAGGATTCTGGCACTTCAGGGTTAGTTTCATTTGTCTCAGGTTCCTGCGATGACTTGGACAGTATTGAATCCTGAAGCCATGACTTGTCCTCTGCAGTTGAAGCTGATCATCACCAGGAAAGTTAACAAGAAGAAGTGAAATTGTGATCTTATTAAAACATCCATAAAAGAGCAGGAAAAAAAAAATAGAAAACCATGTTCAACTAACAAGCATATCAAATTACAAAATAAGGCTTCAGAAAGACTTTTGGAATGCTAGAACACACTTTTTAAGGAAAGATACATATTTGTACTTCAACATTTAGAGCATGTGACATTGGACTACACCAACGGCCTTGATTAGCATTCATTTCTCCATTCGTCCAATCCCTTTTGCCTTTTGCCTTCTTTCTTATGAGGGCTCTCAGGAATAAATATTTCAAAATTACAAGAGGCAACCAAGAGCAGTCCTAACGTCACTCAACTCTAGACGCTAGACAGTAAATTGAATATTGAAAAATAAAACATTTAGTTACATTTAAAATATAAAACATGTATATAGCCATGGAAAGGCTCGGAGTTACCTGCATGTGTGAGCTCAACATTCCTGTTTGGCCATTTCAAAACCTCATAATTTTCATCCACATGTACCTCCAGTTGGGGCTCAACATTCCTCTTTGGCTGTTTCAAAGCCTCATAATTTTGATCCACTGGCACCTCCAGCTGAGGCTCAACATTCCTCTTTGGCCGTCTGCAAACCTCATAATTTTGATCCACAGGCAACTCCAGCTGGGCATTACGAAGTCGAGCACTCGCTCTAGTGACAGTTCCCAGCTGTACAACAGGTGTCACGGGGAAAGTAGATACCCCTAAACCATCTGGAATATGTTCTGGACCACCTTCAGCTGCAATCTTGTCACAATATGCAACTAGTGCAGGGTCCATTTGTGACAGCATCCCATGTACCTGAGGAGAAAAATAATACATATAAGAAATGCAAAAGCCAAAAGCCTCAAATAAAATAAATAAATAATAATAATAACAGTCAAACTTACTGCGTCTCGAAGCTCATGAGCTCTGCTAACAATCCTAGCACCATTATAATCATCTCCATTGTAAGCCTGAATTCAAGATAGGAGAATACATAAAACTGACACATGATACAATTTACAAAATAAACACAATGACAACAACAATTTTGAGCTTTCTTTGCACAACATATTCTTGAACATAATAATAAGAAAATCAAAAATCAAGAGTGAGAGCATGATGTTTTTCAAATATTCCCAGTTTTTATGTTTTGCATGATTTTGGTATAAATTATAATTTATAATACAAAATAAATATATATAAAAAATATTAAAAAATATTTTTTTTAAAAGGCCTAGGCACCGCTCCAAGGCCCCAGTTACTCCTCTAGGCGCTAGGCTCCTGCCTGCCACTCCCCTACCACCTAGCGATTTTCGAACATTGTACGTTGGTAGAAGGGGAATAAAATCCAAACTGGAAAGAAGTGCAAATGAACTACGATGAGACACCATGCTTCTTAAAAGTTAAAATCAACCAGCATATCAAACAGGGTAACATTTGACAAACCCAAGGAAAAAGAAATGCCATGTCACGAGACATCAAAGAAAAGAAGGCAACATAAAACAGAATAACATGTCATGATTACAAAAACAGAACAAAATGAAATGGCCAACCTCCTTAGTCCTCTCAGTCTATCAGATGTCATTGCAATTATTATAAATTAACAGGTAAAAACTACAGCAAGCACCACAAACCTTTGCATTGGAAACTATAAGATCAACATCTTGCAGGAATGAAGAACATGTAATATACTGCCCAGAGTCTACATTATGCAGCAGCTTAGCCACATCAATAGGGTTCTGAATGATTGTGCGATAGTTTGGAGCATCCTCCTCCGACACAGGATAGTGGAAAGCACCAAACCTCTTATCATATAAAAGTCTGCAGCATAGGGAAACAAAAAGTACATAAGTAGAGATAAATTATATATGTAATGAAATATTCTCATGCCAAGAGCCAAATGACCCCTATTTCAAATAACATGAGGCAATCCAACCAAAAAAAAAAGGCTTGACTAAACAGAAGCCTCAATTTCTTAATTCAAGTAAAACGGATACTAATTACAGAAGAGGAAAGGAAAAAGATGAGGAATTATTACAAAAAATTACAATGGTACAGTTTCCAAATTGTTAATTAAATTCTCTCTTTGTAAACCACGGGCAAATGCAAGTAACCAGTAAGAAGATACACCAATCATCACAAAGGGACAGGGACACAGTAAGGATTATCTAACCTATTGCAAACATCTCTGAGGCACATCCGCAATCGGCGAAGGGC